CAGAACATTCCCACTCCTCGAGCATCCCCACCATCCCCAGGGCTTCCCAGCAGAGAGATGGGAAGGAATTTCCAATTTCCAAGGCCCAGATTTGTCAGCTGGGCTGAGCAGCAGACGAATCTGGCAGCACCAGCAATCCTGGGGCACTTTTATCTCCTGTGGCAGCATCTCTGCAACCCCATCCTTTAATTACGGGGAGCTGAAGGGAGCCTGGCATGGAGACGAGGTGGGAACATGATTTGGAGTGCAGGGAACGGGGTGATTTAGATGTTTTTTCCAGGGATAACCTGTCATCCTCTGAGGAGTTCAGCCCCAGGTTTCCCCTCTCCCCCCCCAGCCACAAGCAGAGTAATTTGTATTTTCTTTTCCTTATCCCTGCGTATCTCCCCTCACCTGCTCCTCCTAAGCTGCCTGGGCTGTAATCCCCTCTCAGCAGCCTTCCCTGAAAAGTGACAGGGAACAACAGCAGCTTATTCCTCAAGCTGCTTCCATGGCAGGGCCTCTCACAGCCCCTGTGCTGCTTTACCTTCACTTTGCCACCATTCCCACCAAATTTTCTTTTTTGTCAGCTTTGATTTTCCTGGCTTTGTGTTAAAAAAGGAAGTCTTGGGTTACACAGGGTGGGGGGATTTGGGAGTGGTTTTGGCTGTCACACCTCCTCATTATTATTGATAATATCAGAAATTAGGAATATCTTTTTCATGGTAAGAATTGTCAGACCCTGGCACCAGGAGTGCTCAGAAAACACGTGGTTTTACACTTTGTGCCTTAGTGGTGCTGGGTTGCTGGTTGGACTGGGGTTTGGGGCCCTTTTCCAGCCTTGCTGACTCCATGATCTGTTACAAGCACCCACATCTGCTCCAGGGTGCATCTCACAGGGACAGGAATTGTTCCCTTGCTCCGGGTGCATGGAGTGCATGTGTGACACATCCAGGGTTTGCTGGTGAGGCTTCCCTGCTCCTTCCCCATGTCCCTGCTTCCTGAAATTCTGTGTGCAGTCGTTCAGGCTCCATTTCCAAAGGGCTCTTAGGCTGCTGCTCCCCTCCCAGTTGATCCCAGTGCCTTTGCTGCCAGGAGGGCTTGGTGGTGCTTCTCCAAAGGCTTTGGAAAACTCTCCTGGTCCTTGCAGGGGTGTGCTGGGAGCTTGGCTGTGTCTGTGGATGGCCTTGGTGCCAGGCTCTGCAGCAGGAGCATTTGTCAATAACGTGCATGGGATGGTTGTGGAGACACTGGGGCCACGTGTGGAGTCAGGAATTCCTCGCAATAACTTGGCACCAGCAGGAGCCAGCTCTCCCTCTCCCCCTGCACGGGTGTTTGGCACCCCTGGCTCTCACCCTGGGATTGTGTTTCTGTCCACACAGGGAGAAAAACCTGGGCAGGGCTTGAAACCCCTTCTCCATGAATGCCAGGGGACTTCAGAGCTCTCAGGAATTTAGGATTCCTTGATTCCTTCAGGAGCCAGAGGCAGCTTTGCCTCAATCCTGAGCAGTCCAAGGAAGGTCCTGCCCTGCCTGAGCTGATCCTGCCTGGAAATTAATCCAGGGAGAGTGGGGAAGAGTTCAGTGGGCACAGGGAGGGCTTGGTGGGCACAGGGAGAGCTTGGTGGGCATAGGGAGGGCTCAACTGGAATAGAGAGAGGTCAGTGGGCACAGGGAGAGCTGGGTGAGCACAGAGAGAGCTCAGCTGGAGCAGGTGGGCACAAGGAGAGCTTGGTGGGCTTAGGGAGAGCTTGACTCCTACAGGGAGAGCTTGGCTGCCCAAGGAGAACTCAGTGGGCACAGGGAGAGCTCCTTGGGCACAGGGAGAGCTTGGTGGACACAGGGAGAGCTCAGCTGGAATAGAGGGAGCTCAGTGGGCACAGGATGAGCTTGGTGGGCCCAAGGAGAGCTTGGCTGGCCCAAGGAGAGCTCCTTGGGCACAGGGAGAGCTCAGTTGGCACAGAGAGAGGGCTCAGCTGGAACAGGGAGAGCTCCTTGGGCACAGGGAGAGCTCCTGAACCATAAATGACCCAACCTTTTGCTGGTGGAGGACAACCACACTGAGGGAACCTCCAATAGTGGTTTTGAACTAAAAAAGGGAAGATTTTTAACAGGAGATTGGGAAGGAATTCTTCTCTGTGAGGATGGGGGTGGCACAGGCTGCCCAGAGAAGCTGGAAAGCACTTCCTCATCTCTGGAAGTGCTCAAGGCCAGCTTGGAGCACCCTGGGACAGTGGAAGGTGCCATGGCAATGGCAGGGGGTGGAACAGGGTGATTCAAGGTCTCTTCCCACCCAGGGAATGTGGGATTCCATGGCTCCCAGAGGCCAGGCTGAGCTCAGGGCGCTCGGAGCCGGGCACGGCTGCGGCTCCGGGGAGCTGGGCCCCCTGCGCTCGGAAATGCAGCGTATAATCTATGCATTAAAAGTCCTTGTGAGACAGGAGCTGCTGTGCCTACACAGTTCCAGCCTCTTCCCATCCAGCCCTGTAGATATTTTTTAAAGCTCTGCCTGAGCGCAGTGTCCTTCCATTACGGGCTGCGAAATTGCACCGAGTCGATACCGGCAATAAAAAACGGGGGAAAAAATATCAAATCGAGCCTTTTTTTTCTCTCCTCCCTTTTTAAAACCCAGATTTAACTTCAAAGTGAATGGAAACTGCGTTGCTGATGGTTCTGTGAGCCCTCCCTGGCTGCTTGTTCCGAGGGGAGGCGTTGGCTCTTCCCTGTGGAGCAGGTCGGGGGTGGCAGTGGCTGCGTGTGACCTCGCTGGAGTCCCGTGGCTCTGTTCAGGCTGGGGCCCTGGGAGGTGCCAGGGAAGGGCCAGGAAAACACCACTAACAGCTGGGTCTGGGTGCCAGCACGAGGCTCCGTGGTTTGGGGATGTCTCAGGAAGGGTTGGATGTGGTGGCCGTGCTCAGGGCTTGGTGCACGGCAGGGCAGGGAGGATTCCCCAGCCTCCAGCCTGGAATCTCTGCTGGCATTGCCATGTCTGCATTCCCCCCATGGAGGAGCAGCTCAGCTCATCCCCATGGTCTTTATTCCCTGCTTTAGGTCCTTCCCAAACCTCCCCCAGCAGGGACAGAACATAAAAGAATCCAGGAAAGCCTCTGGGCTGATGGAATCCTCCTTCCCATGGTTAATAACTGGGAGAAATCCCTGCAGGAGCTGTCACCTTGAGCTGCTGGCGTTGTGTGTGTGCCATGTTGGGAAAGGGCATCCCTGGCACAAAACATCTCTGCAAGTGCACCAGGCCAGGCTGGAGTGGGTTTGGAGCCTCCTGGGCCAGTGGAAGGTGTCTCTGCCCCAGCTGGAGTGTCCTGAAGGTCCTTTCCAGCCCAAACCATTCCCTGATTCCCTGACCCCAAACCTGTATCCCATGAGAGCTCTCAACCTGGCCACCCTTTCATCCATCCCTGTTTCCCTCACCCTTCTCCTGGTGGATTTTTGAGCTTTACAAAGATTTAGGAGAGATTTTAGCAGCCCAGGAGCTGGTGAGGCCACGCCTGGAGCCTGCTGCATCCAGGACATGGCTCCCATTTAAATATAATGGGATTGTGTGGGATGGTGCCCGTAAAAAGCAATGTCAGGGCAGAGCATCTGATCCTCTCCAGGCAGCTGGAGCAGCTCCCTGATGACTTTTGCAGGTTGTTCCTCATCCCCAAGCTGTTGCAACAGACACAGAATATCATGGGATGTATATTTATATTTCTATTTGTATGGATTTGTTCTGTGCCAGCCTCGGGGGACGTGCAGGACCGGGCAGGATTGAGGGATCACATCCCCAGCTCACCCAGGGATGCTCCACACAAACTCTTGGTTGCAAAAATTCCCATTTCTGCCTGCTCCTGGCGTTTGCCCTTTGCAAACAGGCTCAGGGATGAAAGTTTTCTCTCAGCACCCACCAGCCCATCAGCACCCTCCAGAGCGAGCAGAAAATGGGATTTTGATAGGGCTGGAGTGGCTGAAACACCCGTGGTTCTGCCTGAACCCTGGATTTGGGTCACATCCAAAGCAAATTACACTCATCAAGTGACATTTGTGTCTTTTCTTTTTCCTAATGGCCCCCCAGGTTGGATTTCTATTTCTATTTTGATTTTATTTTTCCATTTTAAGAGGTGGGAAAGCTGTTTGTTCCCTCCTGGAAGTAAAATCCATCGCCAGGCTGCTCAGAGAAATTTTTCTTCACCAATCCCTGGCCTCAACCCCCCAAAATAACCATGGAATTTATGAATATTAAATTATTATCTCCAGAGGGAGCATCACCTTCTTGATCCCAACCCTCAGCCCTGGTATCCCCTGGGATAATTTGATTTTGTGGAATTAAGAGGCAGGAGCAACGTTCCAGTTCCTGCTTTTCCCTTTTCTGTCACATTCAAAAATATTCTCCATCAGATGTTCATGTTTCCTCAATTTGTAACACATTTTAATAATAGGAATCTTTCCCATCGCCTGGGTAAATTGTTGGATGCTGTGAATCCTTCTGGGGAGGGCTCAGGGCTCCTCTTCAGCTGGGTTTGTGACCCAAAAAGAGCAAAAATTTGCTGAAAAAAGAACAAAAAAAAAATCAGAAAAAGGAAAAAATTAACCAAAAAAAGCAAAAAAATTACCAAAAAGAGCAGAAAATTAACCAAAAAAGCACAAAAAAACCCCAAAAAAGGCAAAAAATAATATCCAATAAGGGAAAAAAAATTGTGCAAAAAAAATACCCGTAATATTTAATTATTAACTGTAAATTAAATGTATTAATTTAAATTTTAATCGGCAGTTATTATTTATTTTGCACTCATTTTTTCTTTTTCCTGGACTTTTATTGCAACTTCTCCACCTCTTCTTTCCCTTTCCAACCAGGAGCTGGGCAATCACCACATTAATTAAGAATATTCCGAATTCTGGGATGGTTTGGCTTGGAAAAACCTCACAGCAGGAAACTTCCTGCTGCACCAGGGTGCTCCACAATTTCCTTGGGTGCTTCATCCACCCAAAATATCCCATCCCAAACCTTTCCCATCTTTTTTTTTCCAGGTTCAGCAGCGTCTTCCCGAGCCTGAACATGGCAGTGAAGCGCCGGGAGCAGACGCTCCAGGACTACAAACGCCTGCAGTCCAAGGTGGAAAAATATGAGGAAAAGGAGAGGACTGGCCCTGTCCTGGCCAAGCTGCACCAGGTACTGAGGTGTCCCCAGAGCCACAATGCCAGCAGCGTTCCTGGGAAAACTCGGGAAAAGCTTTTCCCTCTATCTGGCATCTGTGCCATGAATAGAACATTTTGGGAGGATGTCTTTTATCCGTGTAAAAATCACATTTTTGACAGCACAACGCTGGTTTGGAGTGTTCAGTGAAGGGAAGGAGGTGCTTTTCTAAGAGAAAATGGAATTTTTTTTCCGAGAGAAAATGGAATCAGAGCCCTGGGAGCTCTGGGGGAGCTCGGAGGCAGCGCTGAGGTCGAGGCACAGGGGGGTTCCCCCCGACCTCCGCGTCTGAGCGAGCAGCTGGATGGGGAAGGGAACAGATCAGAGCATTTCCCAGCTTTATGTTTGCCACCTGTTCCCAAAAAATTCGTCTTGGAAAATTGCAGTAATTGGTTAACAGGAAGTTTTGCCAGATTCTTTTTGCTCTCTCCCAAATTTTGTGAAATCATGATGAGTTTGTTGGTTTTATTTTTTTTTAAATCAAATCTTCCCCAGCGTTTTTCCCCAAAATCTGTCGCTCCAGCAGCACGTGGCTTGATCCTCCCAGGAACAATTGATTCTCAGAGTCAAAGAAAATGTGTTTTTCTGATGAATTTCCCCCCAAAAATGAAGTTTTGTGTTAAATAACAGCCTGAACAAAAGACACCTCTGGTTTAACAGTAAGCAGCTTATTTTGCTCAGCCTCAGCGACTAAAGCTGGGGTTGGAAAAATGGGAATTCTTTTGTCCTGGTAATTAAGCAGGGTTTAGTTATTTCATATATTTTTCCTCTTAATGAACTTTTGATCTAATTCCCCCCTCCCCCAAAAATAAATCTTAACCAAACACTGAGTTTAAACACCTGTGAGAGGCAGCCTTGAGCAATCTTGAGCCTGGGGTATCCAGGGGGTCTGGATTTAATGGGAGAGGGCCTCATCTCATCCAGTTATTTTTAATTATTGAGCTGCAAATTTACATCCATTGTTTGCTCCAAGTTTTCTGCTCTTCTGCCCCCTGTGAAGAACATCCTGGGAGTTTCCCCACCATGAACTCCATCCCAGGAGTTTTCCATGAACTCCATCCCAGGAGTTTGCCCCATGACCCCCACCTTGGGAGTTTCCCCCATGAACTCCATCCCAGGAGTTTTCCCCATGAGTTCCATCCCAGGAATTTCCCCCCATGAACTCCATCCCACAGCTTTCCCTCATAACTCCATCCCAGGAGTTTTCCCCCAGGAGTTTCCCCCATGAACTCCATCCCAGGAGTTTTCCCCATGAGTTCCATCCCAGGAATTTCCCCCCATGAACTCCATCCCAGAGCTTTCCCTCATAACTCCATCCCAGGAGTTTTCCCCCAGGAGTTTCCCCCATGAACTCCATCCTTGGAGTTTCCCCCCATGAGTTCCATCCCAGGAGTTTCCCCCCATGACCTCCATCCCAGGATTTTCCACTCATGAACTCCATCCTTGGAGTTTTCCCCATGAGTTTCCCCCAGCAGTTTCCCCCGTGAACCTCCTCCTGGGATTTTCCCCATGAGTTCCATCCCAGCAGTTTCCCCCCATGAACTCCATCCTGGGAGTTTCAACGCTCCCAGCCTCATGGCAAATGATGAATTTTTTGCTTTGCTGGGCTGATTCCAGCCTTTCCCAGCCTGCAGCCAGTCCATGCCATGCCCCTGGCACACTGTCCCTGTCCCCAGGGCGGCGCCGCGGCCGGGCCGGGCTCTCCCGCTCCCCCCTCCCGTCGGAATGGCACTGGGATTAAGTGGCAGACTTGAACTGGTCTAATATTTCACAGCCCACCCCCTCCTGCCCTTTTCCACACCATCCCCGAGACATTTCCCGTTCTCCCCACGCTCTGTTTAAAGGAGCCAGTTGGATGCACTGAGCTGAAGGTCACGGTGACGGTGGGGACAGGATCCTGGAGCGACGCTCCTGGGAATCGCAGGGTGAGGGGACAGGGATGTGGCCAGGGACGTTCTCCAGCCTGACTGAGCTCTGGGAATGGGTTTTGTCCGTGTTTTTCTGAAGGAGAGAAGGCACAACCTCTCTGGGTGTCCTGTGGATTTCCAGGATCAGAGCATGGGTCCATTGGATGGTCCCATCAGGATCCATAAACTGCTCACTTAGGCCCCACCAGGTTCCACTGAGAGGTCACTTGAGCTCCACCAGGTTCTGTTAACTGGTCACTTGGATCCCACCAGGGTCCACTGAATGGTTACTTGAGTCCCACCAGATTCTGATGGATGGTCACTTGGGTCCCACCAGGGTCCACTGGATGGTCTCCTGGATCCCACCAGGTCCCATTGAATGGTCTCTTAGATCCCACCAAGGTCCATTGAATGGTCTCTTGGATCCCACCAAGGTCCACAGAATGGTCAGTTGAGTCCCACCAGGTTTGGATGGTCACTTGGATCCCACCAGGGTCCATTGAATGGTCTCTTAGATCCCACCAGGTCCCATTGAATGGTCTCTTAGATCCCACCAAGGTCCATTGAATGGTCTCTTGGATCCCACCAAGGTCCACAGAATGGTCAGTTGAGTCCCACCAGGTTCCACTGAATGGTCTCTTGGATCCCATCAAGGTCCACTGGATGGTCCCATCACGATCCATTAAGTGGTCACTTGGGTCCCACCAGGTCCCATTGGATGGTCACTTGAGTTCCACCATTGAATGGTCACGTGGATCCCACCAGATCCCCCTGGATGATCCCATGGGTCCCACCAGGCTGGTCACTGCTCGTCCCCAAAGCCAAGCAAAGCACCCCATTGTCCTGGGGTGGCCTCCATGGCAGGGGATCCCTGTCCCAGGACTCTGACCCCTCCATGTCCCCCCGCAGGCCCGGGAGGAGCTGCGCCCGGTGAAGGAGGACTTTGAAGCCAAGAACAAGCAGCTCCTGGAGGAGATGCCCAAATTCTACAGCAGCCGCATCGATTACTTCAAACCCAGCTTTGAGTCGCTGGTCCGGGCACAGGTGAGACATTGTCCCTCCCTGGTACCTGTGTCGTGTCCTGTGCCACAGTTCCAGCCCTGCCTGTGCTTTATCCACTGGAATTCCATGCCTTTATCCACCTGGGAATGCCATCTCCTTGAATGTGGGGTCCTGAGCTCAGGGCTTGGTTGGGTTTGAGGTGTTTGGGCTCATCTTGTGGCTCCTGGAGAAGAGGCTCCTGGGACATCTCCAGACCAAAGATTTGTTGGGAGAGGTGCCCAGCTTTCATTTCCACCCGAACGTGCTGTGGCTCCTCCTCCTCCTCTCCTCTCCCTTTGCCCTTTCCCTCAGGGGCTGCAGAGGGGCCGGGTCGGGATCTCACCAGGCTTTGAGAACCTGTGGCACCGCGTTCCGCGGCCGCCGGGGCGGGGAGGAGGGCGGAACGGGGCCGTGGGTGTTTCCCTGCGGCATTTTGGGGCCGGGAGCTGCCGCAGGGACCCAGGTGTGCTGCGGGGGGGCCGCCGGGAGGTGCCGGGAGCACGTGTTCCATCTCACCTCCGACTTGGGGGGGCCTCTGCGCGGAGCTGCCAGCGAGTTGTCTGCAGGCTGATTCACCTAGCAGATGGTGCCGATGCTCCCTGCGCCGCAGGGTGGGTGCTGGGGATGCTGTTCCTGCTGTTCCCTTAGCAATCCCTGTTCCAGCCCGGAATAAGCACAATTCCCAGAGCCTTGCTGGCCCTTTCCCCCTGCGGACCCCCTCCGTGGGTGAGACCTTGACACCTGAATTTTCTCTGCCCTCTCTGGGGTTTGTGATCCGTGAGTTTCCTCAGCTTTGCCCCTCTGGCTTCTCGCTGTTTGTGTCCCCATTCCCAAGGAATTTGGGGTGAGGAGGACGTTGGGATAGGTGTGCTTGGAGCACCCAGGGGTGCAAGCAGGGAGCAGCAGGGTGTCACTGCTGGGGCTGTCTGTGAGACTCCATCCATATCCCTCTTCTTCCTTGGGAATCCTCTGCTTTCTTTCCCGTCTATCCGCCCTGCCTCTCTTCAGGTGAGGAATTTGTTGGGAAAACCGAGTGAAATCCTGTTTTTAGCACCCAAAAAGGCAGCGTCACAACAAAGCTGATGCATCTCCCGTAGGCTGGACTTAAAGCTGGTCCCAGATGGATGCAGCTCCTCACATCCCTCCCTCCCTGCCAGCCTCCATGGGAGCTGCATCCCTCTTCCCTCCCAGCACTGGCTGCATCCTTCCACCCCCGGGGAGAGGTGCTGGGAGGAGAGCTGGGAATATTTGTGCCAAAGCTGGGCTTGGGCTCCGTGTGCCCCCCTGGCTCAGCAGCTCTGGGAAGCATTTTCCCACTGAAGTGGCTGAAATAAAATGGAAAAGGGATGTGATTTGCCCAAGGTAGTGAGTCAGTGGCGAGCCAGGAATAGCAGCCAGAGCCCTGAGTCAGCTCAGCACTGCTCACCTGCAGGCACCTGGCTGGGAAGGGCAGGCAGGAGCATCCCCATCCCAGGAGAGAGCTGGCATGGAAATACTGCCCAGCTTTCCCTCCCTCTGTGCCTCCCTGAGCTGGTTAGCAGCTGGGCAGGGTCGTGTTCCTCGATGTAATTTCTATTTTCAGCCTTTTCTGCAGGTACCTCTTTAGGAGTGGGATGAGGCTGGAGGTGAATCCCACAGGGAAAAGGCTGGATGGGGTGGGACTGGGATCAGCTGGCCCTGTGCAGGCTGCTGTGACTTTGGGGTTGTTTCTCCCTCAGTCAAACCCACCATCCAAATGCAAAACCATGTCATTTTCCTGATTTTTTGGCCCTGGAGGCAGCCAGGACTTAAAGCAAGACAAATTGTGTGACAGTGACACCATCCAGTGCCACGATGAGCTGGGAAGGGACCAGCTGCCTCTCGGGGAAGGGGAAGGACCCTGCTCCCAAGCACCTCCGTGGCTTTGACCTAAGGAGACCCTCCCAAGGCTCTTCCCCAGCCAGTTCCCATGGCACAGCCTGGCTGTGCTCCCAGGGCTGGCTGTCTCCTGACGCCGGGACATGTCCCGAGCTCGCAGGGCTGTAACATTCAACACCAAATTCTTCTCTCCACCCACGGGCCCGGGCCAAGCCAAGGGAGGCAAATATTTCCCTGGCTGGGGGCTTTGAAGTGGCCACATGGAGATGAAAGGGGGAGATTTTGGAGCTGTCGCTGGTGTGAGGCGTGAACAGCACTTCCTTCCCGCTTTGTGCTTTATTTTCCAGCTAGAAAACATGAGATTCCTTTGGGTTTGAGTGGAATGGGGGGAAAGGTGGGGCTGGCAGGCAGGGGTGGTGCTGTGGGCTGGGGGAGCCTGGCCCTGGCAGTGCCCCTGGGTTTGTTTTGGGTAGGGCTGCCCCAAACAAGCAGCCACTGGGCCATGGTGGCCAGGAGCTATAGAAAATGCACGGAACACAGCGTCCCCAAACAGAATTAGTTCAAGACAGGTGGACTCGGGGCCGCTGGCTCGGGCTCAAAGGCGAGTTGGAGCTGGGATTTGATGGGATGGGGACAGAGCATATGGCATCCATAGCTGGAAAAGTACTGGGCTGGCAGAGCAGGTAGGGCAGGGCGAGCTGGCTGCCCCCTGTCACTGCCACCAGTTCGGGGTGCATCCCCTCCCTGGGGGGGTTTCCACTCCAGTTTCAACAGGAGAAATCGTGGGGGGCTCGATGCCAGTGGGATTTTGTTGATGAAGCTCGGGAGACTGGGCTGGCGAGGCAGGGCAGCATTCCGGGGGTGCCAGCTGCTTCTGCACTGGGGCCTGCTGGGGGACAGGGGCGTCCCCAGGGATGCCCAGAGGGCCCTGGGGACACGGGGTGTCCCCAAGGACACCCACAGGCCCTGGGAACACGGGGTGTCCCTGGGGAAGGGATCAGTGGCTGAGGGACGTGGGTGGAGGGGAGCAGCACCAAGGGGTTCGCTCTGCTCTGCCCGTTCAGAGCAGTGGGGGTGCTGGGGACAGTCCTGGGGACAGTGCTGGGGGGCAGTCCTGGGGACAGTGCTGGGGGGCAGTCCTGGGGAAAATCCTGGGGACAATCCAGGGGAAAATCCTAGGGTACAATCCTGAAGGACAATCCTGGGGACAGTCCTGGGGACAATCCTGGGGAAAATCTAGGTTGCAGTCCTGGTCCCAGAAGAATTCTCAGGCATTTCTGGATCCTGATGGGGGGCCAATTCCGGAGCCAATCCTGGGGGACAATTGTCCCCAAAACCTGGGGAACAATCCTGGGACCAATCCTGGGGACAATCCTGGGGGGCAGTCCTGGGGACAATGCTGGGGGACAATCCTGGGGAAAATCTAGGGTGCAGTCCTGGTCCTGGAGGAATTCTCAAGGATTTCTGGATCCTGGTTGGGGGGCCAATTCTGGAGCCAACCCTGGGGGACAGTTGTCCCCAGATCCTGGAGGACAATCCTGGGACCAATCCTGGGGACAATCCTGGGGAACAGTCCTCGGGGACAATCCTGGGGAAAATCTAGGGTGCAGTCCTGGTCCTGGAGGAATTCTCAAGGATTTCTGGATCCTGGTGGGGGGCCAAGTCTGGAGCCAATCCTGGGGAACAATCCTGGGACCAATCCTGAGGGACAGATGTCCCCAAATCTTGGGGGACAACCCTGGGGGCAGCATCTGCCTCCAGGCCTGCCACCCCGACAAGATTCAGCTTTTTCCATGCTGGGTTTGGCAGTGCCACTTGGCCATATGCTACTGAGCAGAGCCCATCTGACTGCAGCCTGGGGACAAGGGACACGGAGGCTGCTCCAGGGCTCTGGCACCCCGCTTGGCACCCCTGCCCCCAGATCCCTGCCCACCCGTGGCATTGCCAGAGGATTTCAGGTGTTTGTGGCATCTCTGGCTGGCAGCGGGGCTCAGAGGGCGTTCGGGGTGACCCAGCTGTGGGGTTGTGGTTTGGGGGGCGTGCGGGGATTTTGGGGGGCCCCTGCCAGCTCAGCCCTGTGCAGGGTTCGTTAGTCACTGTGTAAATGAGCGTTGCTGTGACTCAGCTGGCACGGCTGCGGGGGGGAGCCCCGGCCACGGAGCAGCCCCCGGGCCCCTGGCATGGCCGGGCCTGGGAGGGGGCTTCAGGCAGCCAGCACTGCCCTGTGGGGTCCCCACCACACCCCCTGAGGCCTGCCCAAAATCGGCATGGCTTTGAGCAGGATTCGGGGAGCTGGTCTCCATGGAGACCGTGGATGTCTCAGCACCGGTGCTGCTGGAGATGCTGGGGCCCTCGTGGGAAACGGGGACAGCGCTGGCATTGCCCGCCCTAGGGGGCTGCGTGCCCCTCTCCCTCCCTGGGGGGTGGGGGGGGATATCCAGGGCAGGATCCCACACCTGGCACGGCCCCGGGGGTCCTGCAGTGCCAGGGGTCCCTGTGGCACCCGGGGGGTATTACAGCAAGGGGTTCTGCAGCTCCGGGGGTCGCACAGGCAGCACTGGCATCCCGCAGCACCGGGAGTGCCCAAGCAGCATTGGGGGTCCCACAGTCAGGGCTGAGCCCCCCAGTGCCGGGGCTCCCACAGCACCGAGGGTCCCTCCCACCGGAGGTCCTGCGGCACCGGGGGGGTCCCCCAGCGCCGAGGGTCTCCCCGGCAGGGCTGGGACCCCCCCTCTCCCCGCTGGAGCCCGCGCCCGAGCAGGCACCCCGCTGCCATCTGCCTGCGCTGACCCACGGGCTCCCGCGCCGGCGGGCGCTGCTCGCTGCCGGAGATAATTGGCGGTGCTAATTAGCACGTTATTAACACACCCCTCCTCCTCCTCTTCCTCCTCGCCGTGCTTCGCGCGGGGCACGGCGCTGCCGGGCGTGCCCCCGAGCCCTGCCCGGTGTGCCCGCCGGGCCGTGGGCACCGGGTGCTGCCGGTGGCACCGGCGACAAGCGAGGGGACAGGCGGCCGCGGGAGGGCGGCGCTGCCGGTGGCGGCCCCGCACGCGCGGCTCGCAGATGGGAAGCGAGCAGAGAAGGGCAGCGCGTTATTAAAATGTGTTGAGTTGTAATAATCCGAGGGGGCGGCACGGCCGCGGGGGAGGGAGCTATTCCAGACACCAACGCCGCGCTCAGGGGCTGCCGAGGGCACCCGGGGGGTGCGCTGGGGAAGGAGACCCCCGTTCCCCTCCCTCCCCAAGCCCCCTTGCTCCAACAGGTTGTTTACTACACGGAGATGCACAAGATTTTTGGGGAGCTGACGGCGCAGATCGAGCGGCCCGGGCTGAGCGACGAGCAGCGCGAGCGCGACAACGACGCCAAGCTGGGCGAGCTCCGCGCCCTCTCCATCGTGGCCGACGACTGAGGCCGGGCTGGGGGCGGGCAGGGCGCGGGGATCCCCCCCCCTCACCCCGGATCCCCTCCCAGGGTGGACTTGTGGGGCTGGAGCTGCTCCCGTCGCCCCACGGCTGCGGGCTGGCTTAGTCTGTGAATGAGTTGTGCCTTAGATTTTGGGGTGTGGAGGAGCAGGAAAGGGAGTGATCCCGCTCAGATGAAGATGGGGTGCTGGATTTTCCTAGGTTCCGGTCTCCCTTGGCAGCCCCAGAGCCCAGAGGGTGAGACCCCCACTCCTTCCCCTCATTTTGTGCCTTAGGAGCCCAGTGGTCCCCTCAGGGGAGGGGAAAATCACTCAAATTTCATTTTTTGAAGTACAGAGACAGGGTGATGCTTCTCATGGTGAGCATCCATCCTTCTCTTCCCAGGAATGCTACAAAGAGCCCCAGAGCTGGGGGGTGCAGGGCGTGCCATGGGGACCCCAGAGCAGGGACAGTGGGGACATCCCTAAGGGACAACCCAGCCAGGAGCAAACCTATGGCAAACTGGGGGGCTGCACCCCTTCCTGGGTGTGCGGAGGGGCCGCAGGGACTCCGTGCTTGTCCCCAATAAAGTTTCTGGCAGCGCAGTGCGGCCGGGGCCGTGTCGCTGTCACCGCCGGTGCCGGTGTCGCTGTCACCGCCGGGCCGCTGTCGCCCTCTGCCGCCGCCCGGCCGCCACTGCAGGGGGGACACGGGGGGCTTGGAGTGTCCCTGGAATGGAAAATTGGGATCGAACATCCCCCCTCGCAGCACGAGGAATGGAGTTTTCCTGTACAACAGAGGCAGTTTGGGGCAGGGCTGGAGCCTTTTGGGACAAGGAGAGGCTGCCCGCTGTGCCCTGGGGTGGGCAGGTGCTGCTTGGGATACGGGGTTGAAGCCCACCCTGGAGAGGTTCTGGGGGAGGTGACAAAGGTCCCTCCTCTGCCTTGGGGTGGCACGAGGCTCCTGCTGCTCCAGGTGAGGGCACACGGCTGCAGGGAACAGGGAAACCATCACCACCTCTTCCCACCAGGACCTGGCTTTGGCAAACCTGCACGAGACAGGGAACGGGGCTCGGGGGTGTCCTGGGAAGCCCAGCAGAAAATGGGGATGGAACCCCTAAAACCAGGGTTTAGGAATCCCTAAAACCAATATTTGCCTTCCCAGCTGGAGCAAAGGGATGGAGCAGAGCTGTGGGAAGGCTGGTGGCTGTCCCCAGTGCACAGTGAGGTCCCCTCCAGAGCATCCCGTGCCAAGGCTCCTCCCCAGCTCCCAGCATGCAGAACTTCATCCCTCCCTCTCCCCTTGTTCCTTCCCAAGCACATCACATGCCAGGCCAGGTTTAAGCAAAATAAACCCAGTTACCACGGTTACCCAGAGCAGGGATGCTAAATATACAGAATATAGATATTTATATATATTTTTAACTACCATGCATGGAGCCCGTGAGCCCGAGCAAGGGACACGGGATCCAAGCGCTGCAGACCTCAGTGTGCCTCCCAAATGGGCCAAGATCCCTCTGTGACCTGCAGGTGTTGATTCCTCCCTGGATTCAAGCCCACCTGGGCTCACCTGAACCCACCTGGTGGCTTTGTCCCCATCACAGTCACCCCGTGTGGCACAGCCAGACCTCCCCTGGTCCCCAGCACCCAGAGCATCCCCAAATCCCAGCCCCTGGGCCGTGCCTTCAGCTCCTGCTGCCCTCCCAGCCCTCAGGAGAGGGATGTCACCCGTGGAAACTCAAACCCAGGCGTTCCCAGGGATTCACTCTGCCTACTCTCCGCAGTGGTTGGGGAGGAGAATTCCATCTTTTATAGTAAAAAGTGGATAATTACCGGGTTTTGCACCACCCACAAGATCCCAGCGTTAATAGGGAGAGCTGGCAGGAAGGGAAAACTCTACAATGAGGAACGTGCTCAGCCTCGGTGGCTGAGGCACCCCTGGGTGAGGCTCAGCAGCCCTCGGACCTGCAGGAGCAGAGGGAAGGGAGGCTCTGCCCCGGGAGGATCCGTGAGGAGCAGCGGGGCCATCCCAGCATGGGATCATTCCCTGCTGGTGAACAAACCTCCTCCTTTTATCTCCCCATCAGGAATTCCAGGTTGGCCCAGTGCTTGTCCCCCTTGCTCCCCAAATCCCCTCGGGACAGCTTTAGCAGGTGCCAGCCCACGCCAGTCCCTCACAAACGGGATGAATTAACCCTCTCCAGGCCTGCCAACACCAGCCCACATCTGGATCCACACCTTGATTTTCCTTGTCAGGTGCTCGGGAGCTGCCCCGTGTTCCAGGTGATCCAGGGGTGGCTCAGAGAGGCTCAGACCTCCTTCCTCCTCCTCATCTGGGCCCTGGAAGGAGAATCAGCATCCCCTGGAGCAGCCTCGGTGATTTCCTTGGGATCAGCCACTGGGATCTGGCTGGGATCCCAGTGAGGGGGAAGGTGGAGGTGGCAGAGGGGCAGCAGGGGAGGGGGTGCCCAGACCCCCACCCCACCCCGGGGGCACCCAGCCCCATCCTTCCCCCACCTCCCCGAGCCCCTCCCCATTGCTCCTCACCCCGGGGGCTCAGGAGAGCAGGGAGAGGCGATGGGAAGGGGGTTGATGCTGGAAGGGGGGGATAAAGGATAAAACACACACACACCCCCCCAGCTGTGCTCCAAAAACCCTTCAGCACCCCCGATCCGGCCGTGAGCCAGCCGGGGGGCGCTGCCAGGGCCCCCCCGTGCCCCCAGGCCCTGCCGTGGGGGTGGGCACGGCGGGGACGGGCACTCACGGTTCCCGGGAAGGAGCGGCGGACGCTGCGGCTCCGGGGCTGCTCCCGGAGCGGGGCCGGCGGGCGCTGGGAAGGAGAAAACCCCAAGTGACGGTAGGAAATCAGCAGGAAAAGGGGGAAAAGGAGGGATAAGGGGATACCTGATGGGAGAGCGCCTGGCCGCGGCTCGGGGCAGCATCTTCCTCACCTGCGGCTCCGGCGACACCACGAGGGGCTCCGGCAGCGCCGAAACAGCATCGAACCCCCTGCTCACCCACCCCCCGAACCGGGGAGCCCCCCGAGAGAGCCGCGCTGCTCCCGGCAGCATCATCCCGCCCCGGCGGGGACCCCCGGCGCCCCCTCCCCACCAACCCCCGGGGGGCTCCGGGGGCAGGACGAGTTCGGGGGCTCGGCAGCCGCTTGGGCCGTCCGTGGGTCCGGGCCCGGTGGGACAAAAGGGGCGGGAGAGCCGTCGGAAGTGATGCGGCAGTGACGCGCCCTCGCGTGACGTCACGCCGGGGTTAGGGGCGTGACGTCACGGCGCGCCAGAAAGCACCTCGCTAAGAGCCGCCTCTTTGTGGGTGAAAATACTTTATTGGGGGAAAGAAAAAAAGGTGAAGGGGGTGCGCCAGGCCGGGGACCGGCCCCGGGCCGGCGTGACGTCATGGGGTGAGGTGTGACGCAGTTCCTCCATCCAGGTGTGGCGGTGGGACCCCCGGTCCTACCTGCAGCGGCCGCCGCGCAGGGAGCGGCGGGTCAGGCGGGTGAGCAGCACCTTCACCCGGCCCCAGTGCGAGCGCCCGTCCTGCGGGAGAGCCGCGGTCAGCGGGGGCACCCGGGGCTCCCCCGCCGCTCCCCGACCCTCCCCGGCCGTACCTTGTCCGGTGCCGGGACGCCCGGCCCGCCCTCGGTGGGCTCCAGCAGGCTGGGGGAGCTCACCGAGTGTCCCCACAACCGCCGGCACGGCCCGGGGTCCGCTGCTGCAAGGGGGAGCAAAGCTGGTCAAGCTTAGGGGCCGGGGGGCATCGTGCTGCCATGCCACATGCTGACCCCTCACCCTGTCCCGCCATCCCCGGTGCTCACCTGGCCCCAGGTGCCACCATTCCTGAGCCCACCCTGCTCACCTGGCACCGGTGTTGCCATTCCGCATCCCCCAGTGCTCACCTGGCACCGGTGCCCACCCCGCTCACCTGGAGCCTGGCTGTCCGAGCAGGAGCGCGGCCGGAACCCCTCGCCCCTCCACCCTGCTCACCTGGCCCCAGGTGCCACTATTCCTGAGCCCACCCTGCCCATCTGGCACCGGTGCTGTCATTCCGCATCCCCCAGTGCTCACCTGGCACCGGTGTTGCCATTCCGCATCCCCCAGTGCTCACCTGGCACCGGTGCCCGCCCCGCTCACCTGGAGCCTGGCTGTCCGAGCAGGAGCGCGGCCGGAACCCCTCGCCCCTCCAGCTGCCCAAATCCTGCCTCGGAGGCTGCCGGCTGGGCTGCGGGCGAGGAGAGGACGGCCGGGGTGTGAGGCGGGACCCCCACAGCCCCCGCCCGCGCATCCCCCTGCCCCCGGCGCTCACCAGGGTGGCCGGGCGGGCTCCGGCCGCCTGCTGCCGCAGGGCTCGGCTGTCCTGCTGCAGCCGCGCCAGCCGCTCCAGCATCTGGCACACGTGCTCCAGGTAGCGCAGCCCCTGCCCCGACACCGCGGCCTCGGGCACGGCCCGGGGGTCCCGAGGGGGCCCCCCCGTAGCCCCCTCGGCCTCCCGGGGGTCCCGCGGGGGCTCTGCCAGATCGGCGGCGCTGGCGCTGCGCCGGCTGAGCTGGCGCGGGCAGCGCTGCCTCCTGCTCCGCTGCGCTGCCTGCAGCAGCCGCCGGCTGGCCGAGCGGCTGCGGGGGCTCCGGGGGGGCTCCTCTCCGGGGGGCTCCTCCGCCGGGAAGCCGTCCAGGGAGAAGCGGCTCTGGGAGCACAGCGGGGCGCAGGGCGAGTGCTCGCTGCTGGTCATCTCCACGCCGGAATCCTCGGACTCGGACTTGAGGGGCCTGCCGGCGGCCGGGGGGCTGCTGGGGGGCTGCGCTGGGGGTCCCCGGGTGCTCATGCCCCGCGGGGGCTGCCGCGGGCTCTCCTGCAGCCGCCGGTAGACGCTGGCGGAGGTGCGCACGATGCAGCTCTCGGCCGACTCCCAGGGACCATCTGCGGGCAAGGGAAGAGGGGTGGGCTCAGCTGGGGCAGAAAACTGGGTGCCCACCACCCCTGCAAGGCCCCTGCAGCAGCTCCAGCCGTGCCCAAGGCCGCTCTCCCCCCTGCCCAGCAGCTGGGAATACGCTCCTACAACCCCAGTGTGTTGTCTCTACTGCCCAAAAACACGGCCCTGGCCTCAGCCATCCTCCTCTTCCTCCCACGCTGAGCTGCTGGGGGGCACCCACGGCCCCCACCCTGACCTGGGCAGGGCTTTCGAGCCGGGTTCCTCCTGTATCCCCCTCCAGCTCGGTGCCGGTGACCCAGCACACAGCACCGGGGGATCCCGGATCTGGGATGGCTCCGGCACCACCAGCTCCTGGCACCCGTCCCCGTGGGAGGGGTGGCATCGGCAGCCGGGATGTGCCCCCAGCACCCCGCAGCTCCAGCCGGGATCGTGCTGCACCCACGGCCAGGTCTCCGTGCCCAGCGCTCCCTTCCCAGCCAGGCCGCGGCTCCGGGAGCTGCCAGCGGAGCTTGGGCACCTCCTGCGGGCTGCCCACCCCCAAAGCCCCGCTCGGGGGGCTCGACACCCCCCCGAACGCACTCACAGCAGCTGAACCTCCTCTTCCAGACGGCGCGGGAGCCACCCCACATCGCCGAGCGCCAGAGCCGAGTGCCGGGCGCGCGTCCCGGCGCTCCCTTTTATTGCCACCCCGGCCGGCCACGGGCCCTGCATCCAGAGGCACCTCATTACCCGACCGGTTCCCAACTGGTTCCTCGCAGCCTTTGGGATCGGCGATACTGGCTGGGCCGGTGGTTAAGGACTCCCTTCCCACCGCAGCTGGGAAGGCGAGAGGGCTGTTCGGGCGCCGGCAGGCAGCCAGGTGCCGCCTGCATCCCGCCGAATTCCAGCAAACTCACTCAGGGCTCCAGCGTGGGCTCAATTCACCGCTCGGGGGTCGCGGTGCTCCCAAATTCCTGCCCCTCCTGCATCCCCCGGGGGCTGGAGGGGCCCAGGGGAGCCGGGACAACCCGGCCGCTCGGCGGGATCGAATCCCAGCAATGGCGGGGAGCAGCCCGCCCGCCCCAGCAGGATTGAATCCCAGGAATGCCGGGGGGCAGCCCCTCCACCGCGGCTCCGTGGCCGCTGCCAGCATCCCCCTTCCCACACGCCGCGATTCCACAGGCTCCGGGACCCCACGTGCCAGGAGCCGCCACTACGGGGGTGTCACCGCAGCCCCACGGGCGTGGGGGGCACTGCAGGGCGAGGAGGGACGTGGGGGTCCCCATCAGCTCCTCCTGGGGTGCCCCCCGCGGGGGCAGCTCCAGCTCAGCCCCCGGTACCTCCCAGATGTTGCTGCTGGAGGGGTCCCGGCACAGCTGGAGCTGAGGCACACTCGGAGGTGGGCCCTGGGTTTGGGGACCCCCACGCCGCATTTGGGGACGGCATCGACCCGTCAGCCCAAACACGGGAAGGGAAAAGCTGAATTCCCAGCGCAGCCGGTGCCTGGGCCCCTCCCGGCAGGGAGTGGGGTGGAAAACAGGGCTGCAGGGACCCCTTTACACAAACTGGGGGTTCCGAGGACCCCCCGGGCTCCTTCTCAAGCACAGCCAACACAAACCGGGGTTCCAAGGTTCCCTCTCCAGCAGACACCTCAAAGCAGAGATCCCTGAGGGATCCTCGCGGGCTGGGACCCCGAGGGAGCCCCCAGCCCCGGGACCACCGACTCACCGAGGTCAGCGCGGAGCGGCTGCACCGCGAAGGCTCCGCGGCGGCGCAGCATCCTCGGGATGTACCGGGAGCGAGGGGTGAAACCGGGAACAGGGCAGGGAGCCCGGGGTTGCTCCTCCGCTGCTTTATCCGGCAGGGCCGGGGGCGGCACAGCCCCGGGGCGGGGCGGGGGTGGGGGGCCGCCCCCTGCCTGGGCAGCCCCTTCGCCCCCAGCCCCAGCTGCGCTATCTCAGGAGGGCTCAAAGCGTTTATTCCCCTTTTCCCCGTGTGGAGAGGGCGGGAGGGGGCAGGACCATCATCATAATCATCCTCCTCCCTGCCTGGGTGTCATAGAGCCGTGGAATGGTTGGGTTGGCACCTCAAAACCCATCCAGTGCCACCCCTGCCGTGGGCAGGGACACCTCCCGCTGTCCCAGGCTGCTCCCAGCCCCTTTCCTCCCGGGATCCAGGGGCAGCCCCAGCCGCTCTGGGGTGATTAACCGGGAATTCGATGGGGAGAGCTCCGTGACCGGGCCCGGGGCTCACGGGGGGCTGTGGCACACCCCGAGCAGACCCCAGAGAGACCCCAGGCAGGAGGGGAGGGGGCGGTCCTGGCTGTCCCTGCTGCAGAGAGCAGGGGAAGGGACAGGTCTCTCCCAGGCCGCTGATAATAGCGAATCCCAGATAACAGCAACGCCCAGATAAGAGCAAAGCCATCTCCGAGCGCGAGGGCACGGAGGGCGGGGCGCGGCGATAAGAGCACCTGGAGCAGGACAAAGGCCTCGGCCAACAGCCCCCGATAAACTCGGACACCTCCCAGGGACACAGGGAGCGGCCAGCCAGCCCCGAGGGCAGCCCCGACCTTCCCGGGAGCAGGACAAGGGGCGGCACCGGAGCACCTGGACCCCCACCCGCGTGCAGGCAGCAGGGCTGAGGGCGCTGGGGGTCCCTGTCTGCACCCCGGGTTTGGGGTAGAACCCTCTTCCCCCTGCCCTGGGGTCCCGGCACAGAGCAGACACGGCAGTGGAGCAAATATATATTATATTTAAAGAGAATCCGCTTTAATTCCTGGGAGAAGCCCTTTGCAGTCAGTGCACAAGCCGTGCCAGCCCCTCTCCGGTACCCAAGTGCTCAAGCGACCCCGCCCCAATGTCCCCTCGGTGTCCCCCGGGCTGAGAACTCACCCAGCTCATCACACACAGCCACGAAGGGGGCGGCTGCCCCGCATCCCCCCCAAATCCCGTCCGTCCCCAGCCTGGCAGCGCCCCCAGCCCCCAGGCCAGCCCTGGGGTGGGACAGCCCGGGGGACGCGGGGTGACCGGCAGCCGGGGCTCAGGAGCGGGGGGACACGGGCCGGGGGCCCCCCGGGGGTCCCTGGTAGCGCAGGCGGGCGTGCTTCTCGCAGAAGAGCTCGTCCCCCACCCAGAAGTGGCCGCGCATCTTGAGGCTGAGGCCGCAGTCGGCGCAGCTGTAGCAGGACGGGTGCCGGTAGCGGCCGTCCTGGATCCGCACCGCCTGCGTCCTGCGGGGAGGGGACACGCGCTCAGCCGAGGTGTCCCCAGCGCCCCCTCCCACCCGGGCACAGCCCCACGGTGGCCCTGGAGCGATGGCAGGGACGGATCCTGCCCTGGGACCACTCACACCGCCGGACCGCCCCCATTTTCACCCCAAAAGAGCAATGGCAGGGATGGATTCCTCCCTGGGACCACCTGGGCCCCACTCACACCCCAGGACCGCCCCCATTTTCACCCCAAAAGAGCAATGGCAGGGATGGATTCCTCCCTGGGACCCCCGAGCCCCACTCACACCCCAGGACCGTCCCCATTTTCACCCCAAAAGAGCAATGGCAGGGATGGATTCCTCCCTGGGACCCCCGAGCCCCCAGCCCCATTCCCAGCCCACCCTCAGCCCCAGTTTCACCCCTCCGGCAGTGACAGCAGGGATGGGCTCTGCCCCGGGACCCGCCCCACCCACACCCGGGATTATTTTATCCCTGCCGGGAGCAATGTCAGGATCAAACCCTGCCCCGCGCTGACAGCAGCCCCTTTTTGGCTTTTCCAGCAGGGACGGAGCCAGCCCCGGACCCCCCGGCCCCAGCCCCACTCACGCGATGCTGCTCCCGCACTTCTCACAGACGTGCAGCTTCTGCACCCCGGCCACGGGCTTGCGGGCCCCGGCCGAGAGCCGGCTGGGGAAGGGGGCTGCGGGGGCTCCTGTGGGGACACCAGGCCATCAGGGTCCCGTCACCCCCCTGCCAGGGCTCCCACCGCCCTCCGTGCCCCCCTCACCTCCTTCCTCATCCTCCAGCGCCTCCTGGAGCAGGCGGAAGGTGCTGGACTGCCGCGGGGCCGCCCGCAGCTCCCGGTTCTCCTGCAGCATCTTGTAAACCTCCGAGTCCTCCTCCAAGCGCCTCATGGCCGGCTCCGAGCCCTGGCTGCGGGGCGCAGCCCCAGGGGAGGTTTTGGGGGGTTCCCAGCGCCCGGATTCCGGGACCCACCCGGCCCGTCCGCCACCTGCTCCCTCCGCCCGGGAGCTGCCCCGGCCTGCCCGGCCCTCCCTCGGCCCCACCTGCCTGCAGGTGAGTTAACCCCTTCCGCGGGCTCCCTCAGCACCCACGGGTGACAAACCAGCGCGGGGACACGGGGCTGGGGGCTTCCCTTGCGTGGTGTCCCCCCCGAGAGCCCCCAGCCCGCCCCGTACCTGGGGCAGGGGGAGGAGAGGCGCCTCTCCCTGGGGGCTGCCCAGGGGTTCTGGGGGGCTCCGAGCTCCGGGGAGGGTGGGCGCGGGGGGGGAGGCAGGACGGGCCCCTGGGAGCTGCTCTGGCGGCTCAGGCGTCGCTCCTGGCAGGGGGAGAAGTGAGGGGAGTCCTGGGGGGCTGCGCTGGGCTGGGGGGCTGCAGCAGCCCCCAAAACACCTGAGGCTGCCACAGACCCTCCCTCTCCCCCCAGACACCCCAAGGACACCCGGACCAGGCCCAGGGGCTTTCCCCAAGCCCAGATCTCCAGAGGGATGCAGGGATGCTCCGTGGGCCTGCTGCTTCTCCTTCCCACCCAGGCTGGGACCCCCCAGAGGGGCCAGGGCAGCGCCCCCACCCCACCAGGCAGCGCCTGCGCCCCTCCCCGCCCCTCCATCTGCTCCTGCTTAGCGGCCCCGGCGCGGCCGGGAGGCGCAGCCCGGGCTAAGTGGAAGCCGATGCTGCCGGAGCAGCTGCCACGCAGATGGGAACGGGAATGAACCCCCCGGGACCCCGGGGCGGGCGCAGGGCACGGGGACCCCCAGCCCGGACCATGGAGAGGGAGAGGGGCAGCGCCGGGGCTCTGTGGGGCCACGAGGGACGAGCTAAAGTTAGGCACCGGAGGAGCCGGGCCTTGGCCTCATCCCTGGGATGCGGGGAGGGGTGGGATGGAGCCAGGGGCAGCCCCCCCTCACCGCCCCTGGGCCGCGGGGGCTCGGGCACGGCACCCCCATGTCCCCAACCCTCCGGAGCCGGGAGGGACCCTCGGGGGCAGGGAGGGAGCCTTGGGAGCCGGCACCAAAGCAAACAAGGAGCTGGAGGGAAGGAGGGAGCGGGCCGGAGGAGCCCCGGGGCGGCCGGGGCTGCGGCCAAACGCAGCTGGGAAGGGCCGCGCTCGGGGCCGCGGCGCTTCCCAATTTGGGCTTGAAAAACAAGAAAAAGAGAAAGCGGGGAGGGAGGAAAGGAGGGAGACGCCAGGGCCGGAGCCAGCGGCTGTCCGCAGGGAGGATGGGGCGGCCGCGGGCAGCCTGGCACCGAGCTGGGGGTGGAGGAGGCAGCCAGCCCTCGGGCATCCCGATCCCAGCCCCCGGGCATCCCGATCCCAGCCCCCGGGCATCCCGATCCCAGCCCCCGGGCATCCCGATCCCAGCCCCCGGGCATCCCGATCCCAGCCCCCGGGCATCCCGGGGCGGCCGCGGGCAGCAGGATGGGGAGCCGGGGGTGGACGAGGCACCCAGCCCTCGGGCATCCCGATCCCAGCCCCCGGGCATCCCGATCCCAGCCCCCGGGCATCCCGATCCCAGCCCCCGGGCATCCCGATCCCAGCCCCCGGGCATACCGATCCCAGCCCCCGGGCATCCCGATCCCACTCCCGGCTCATCCCGATCCCCCTCCCGGGGTGTCCCCATCCCTCTCCCGGGGTGTCCCGCCGCGGGTCCCTGCCCGGCCAACGCCCCGGTGCCCCGGGCTGGCAGGAGCGGGGCTGGGCCTTCCCAAACTGGTTTGGCCTCCCCAGGCTGGCGCCGCTGCCAAGAGGAGCAAAACATCCCTGGGCAGGTGCGGCGGTGCCCGCGGGGCCGGGGGCGCTGCCAGCGCGGCGGGGAGGGGACAGCCCCGCACCCAGCCCCGACGGGGACCCCGGGGGACAGCGGGGCTGGGCGGCGACGAGGCCGTGGGGCTGCAGACGGAGTGGTTTGGGGGCTCACAGGGGGGTTGTTTTGGGGCTCAGAGGAGGGTGGTTTGGGGGCTCGAGGGGGGAAGGTTTAGCATTGCAAAGGGGCAAGGTTTGGTGGTTCAAAGCAGGGCGGTTTGGGGTTTAAAATGGGGATAGATGGTTTGGGGGTGCAGAGGGGGATGGTTTTCGGTTTCAGAAGGTTTTGGTCCCCCCAGCATCTCTGCCCAGCCCCCCCAGCTCCCTGCTCACCTGGGGGAGGCCGGGACAGGTGAGTTCCTGCTCCAAGGGCTGTGAGCTGGGGGAGAGAACAGAGCCATCAGGGGGGTCCCTGGCCCTCCCCAGCCCCCTGCTCGCCCCCAGCCCCACACACAGCCCGGCACAGCCTTACCTGGCACTGCCAGGCGGGTGGGTGAGGGGTGCCAGGCTGGGGTCGAGCGTCCTCGGGGCGCTTCGGCTCCCACTCGGCACCTGCAGCGTGTCCTGGGGAGGGGAGGGTGACACCGGCAGCTGCCACCAGCCCTGGCTGGGGCCCGGGGCGTGCAGGGGCTGCCCGGGGCTCACCTGGAAACGCGAGGCCAGCATCTCCGGGGAGGTGTCCCCGTTGGTGTGGCTGGCAGGTGGCACCGGGGACCTGAGGGCCAAGGGAGAGCAGCAGCGTTTGGGATCTGCCCCGGGAGCCCAAAACCGCCCGGTGTGACCCCTCCCCGCAGCTCCGGGGGCCGCGGAGCAGCCGGGTCCCCAACTGGGACCAGTCGGCCGGGAAACGGCTGCCAGCGCTGCCAGGCCTCGTTAGCGCCCGACTCCTTAATTAGAGAGCAGGGCCAGGCTCCCGCGGGGATGGCACCGCCCCAGGAGCCACGGGGGGGAGAACAGGTGACACCCGCGTGGTTGGGGACCCCAGCCCCGTGCAGACAGCGCTGGCACCCCGGGCCGGTGTCGGGGTGCCCCAGCACCCACCTCTGCACCTCCAGCCGCAGCTGCCCCGGGCTCTGCTTGATCTTGTTCTGCGCCTCCACGTTGAGCATCTCAGCCGTGCTCTCCCCATTGATGGTGACAATGACATCTCCCGGCCGGAGGTCACCCGCGGCCGCCTTCCCGTGCTCCGTCACCTCCGCGGAGAAGGGGACGCGGCCCGGTGACCCCCCCGTGCAGCCCTCCCCACCCCCGCCGGGATGCTCCCGCCCTCTGGAATCTCCAGGGCGCTGCCAGAACAGCGCCAGACCCTCTGCCAGGAGGGACCGCGGCCTTGGGAACAACGCCCGGAAATTTGGCACAGCCCAGCCCAGCCCGGGGGCCACGGGACCCCCCCGGCCCCCCCAGCCCCCCCAGCCGCCGTGGCCGTTCCCGCGGAGCGGGATCCCCCGAGGACAGCAAACAGGATCCGCTCCCGGGCCGGGGCGCACGGGGGGCTCCTACCTTGGAGACGGTGATGGGCTTCCCGAAATCTCTTCCCCCGGAGATGCGGAAGCCCCACGGCGCCGGGCCGGGCAGTGTCACCGTCACCGGCATGGCAGCGGCGGCTCTGGGTGGGCAGGAGCGAGGTGTCAGCGATCCCGGGCGCCGAGGGGATGGGGCGGAGGGGACCCCCCTGCTCCTACCCACAGAGCACACAGCGAGGGCCTCCCTGTCCCCGCTGCACCCTGAGGGTCCCCAGCGCCGGCAGCGCTTTCCTTCCGGGGAGGGGACCCAGGTCCTCGCAGGGTGACAGCAGCCACCGCCGCTTCCTCCTGCGCCCCGAGGCTGGCGGCTTCCTCCCCCGGGCCAGGGGGTCCCAGGCACCCGGCGGTGCAGCCGAGACAGCCAAGGTCGCTCCCAGGAGCTGGAGCGAGGCAGGAAATCGGTGACGCCTTGGCAGCAAGGCCGGCGCTGTGGCCTGGCAGAGCCGAGCTGAGGGCTTGGAGGGGAGGATGTGGCAGCGAGGGACGGGTTCTGCTGCTCACCACAGCAGCGCCCGACACCCAGCAGCCCCAGTCCTTCACCCCACAGCAAATCCACGCTGGTGAAGGGCGCTGAGGATCCCCCGGGGGTGGCACAGGGTCCCCGTGGCACCCCAGCGAGTGGCACAGCGCTTGGCTCCGATGGGATGGGTGGGAATGTGCAGCCGCATCCCCTAAATCCACAGCAGATCCCATCCCGCCCATCCCGCCACAGCCTGGGAGAGCTGGGCAGCCCATCTGGAACCGGGCACCCCGTCCGGCACCCGGCACCCCGTCCGCAGCCGCCGGGAATGTCAAAAATCCCAAGAGCACAAAGAGGGGCTTGAGAGGCTGCCCGGAAGAATTTCCTGGGCTGGGCTTCCAGCGCCGGGAGCAAACCCCAAACCCCCTCCCCATGCCCAGCCCCGCTCAGCATCCCTGGGGACCCCCCACACCCAGCTGGGCACCCACCCCAGACCCCCCGACAGGCCTGAACCTCTCCTCGGGACCCTGCACCCCTTCTTTAGACACTGCACCCCACCTCTCCCTTATGTCCCTTTCTCCAGTCCCTGCACCCCCCCTTCGTGTCCTGCACCCCTTCTCCATCCCTGCCGAGCCCTGCTGCACCCCCCGCAGCCCACCGGTGTCCGCGCTCCCTCCCGGCTCTGTCCCCGCCGCACAGCGATGTCTTTGTGCCCGCGGCACCGCCTGGCACCCGCGGCCCGAGCGGCGGCGACGGGCGATGCCAGGAGGCGCGGGGACGCGGGGACACAGGGACTTGGCACGCGCCAGGGCCGTGGGGACACAGTGGCGCGACCTGCCCGCACATCCCTCTGCACCCCCGGGCACCGCGACCCCCGACGGACGGACCCCTCGCACCCTCACCCCCCGCACTCACCGGGGCGGCCCCGCGGGGCTGCGGAGCCGAGCGCGGCCCGGGACGGCACCGCCTCCTCCGGAGGAGCCGAGGCCGGGCCCGCCCGTGGGCGCGGGGGATCCCCGGGCCCCACGCAGCGCCCGGCGCCGCTCCCGCCCCGCGGCCCGCGGTGGGACGGGTCCCGCGAGCGGCTCCTCCCCAATCCCGGCACGCTCAGAGTCGGGCTGAGCTGAGCTTTAATGACGGAGAAGAAGCGAAGGCGACTCCCGGACACGCGCCCACACCGCGGGGCGCGGCCGTCACGGTCAGCCCCGGCACCGCGCAGACCCCGGGGCGACCCCCGGGCCGGGGGCACCGGGCGGCGGAGGGGAGGGGGCGGGTTAAGGCACCGGGGCGGGGGAGACACCCCGCCCGGGGGGGTTCGTCCCTGTTAGAAGCAGCCCCATAGGGGCGGGAGGGAGCTGGAGGCACTTCATCCCCGTGCGGGGACACGGCGGGGACACGGCGGGGCGGGACGAGGGAAGCCCCCGGCCCCGCTCCTCCCCCGGGGTCCCCACGGCCGCGGGTCACACCGGCGCCACGTAATTCCCGGGGAAAGTGCCGAATTTCTGCGTCCTCCTGGACACTCCTGCGGGTGGAAAGACGCGGAGAGGTGGTGAGGGGTGAGGGTGGCACCTTGTCCCCATCCCTGTCCCCAGGGCGGTGGCCACGCACCCACGAACCAGCCGTCGTCGCATTGCTGCATGACATCCACCCTGTCCCCTTCCCGCAGCTCCAGCTCGTCGGCGTTTTGGGGCCGGTACTGGTACAGTGCCCGGTACCTGCGAGACAAAGCGTGGCCAGAGCCCACCGCGGTCCCTGCTGGGGACACCGCGCCCCGGGGACGCCGCTGCCGCTGCTTACGGGGTCCACCGGATTTCGGAGCCGTTGTAGGACGGGGCGGGCTCGGGACGGGCGCTGCTCTGTGCCGCCGGGCTCGGGCGCTGTGGGGGGACACGGAGGGCTCAGGGCGGCCCCCGCAGCCCCAGCGGTGCCGGGGCACGATGCCAGGGCGGGGGGCACTCACCTGCTCGGGGGTCCAGGCGGGACGCCGGGGCTCCTGCGGGTGGGCGGCCGCAGGGTGCGGGGGGCTGGCAGGGGCCACCAAGGGGCTGGGGGTGCCAGCGTGGGGCAGCTTTGGGGACGGGGGGAAGGTGGCACCGAGGTGGCGCGGAGAGGACGGGCGGCCGGCCGGCACGCCGGGACCCCGCTGCGCTTCCCGGGGGGAAGGGGGGATGCGGGGCCCGGGCGAGCGCTGCAGGGACGGGGATCCGGCCGCGGGCCGGGGGCTGCCGGGGGCGGGAGAGGAGGGGATGTCCTCGGCGCTGGCCTTGACCCGCGGCTCCTTCAGCACCTGGACGTAGGTGGCGGGGAAGATGCCCTGGCGGCTGGTGCCCGAGATCCGCCCCTCGTACCAGTTCTCGTTCACCCGCCGCACCAGGCAGATCCGCTCGCCCTGCCGCGGGAGCAGAGCGCGGGTCAGCTCGGGGCGGCCCGGCCCGGCACGGCACGGCACGGCCCGGCACGGCACGGAGCCGCGGTACCTTGCGGAAGGAGAGCTCCACGTGCAGATCCCCTCGGAAGTTGTAGAGCGCCAGCGCCTCGCCGTATTCCAGCACCTGGAGCGTGGGAGCCTTGATGGGCTTGGGCACCTCCGTGGGGGGCAGGATCTGGGGGGACACGCGGGTGAGGGGCAGCGCCAGGACCCCCGGCCCCGCCGTCCCCCACGGCCCGGGCTCACCTCCACGTAGTTGGAGGGGAAGATGCCCACGCGGCCGTGGTGCTCCCCCTCCAGCCAGTTCCTGTCCACCTCCTTATGGATGTAGACGATGTCCCCCTTCTGCAGCGTCAGCTCCCTGCAAGGGACACTGTCACACCCGTCCGGGGGCACAGACCTGTCCCCGGCTCGGCTGGCAGGGCCACCCCACGTGCTGGGGCTCCCCTATCCCCATCCAGCACCCGAGGGGACCCCGGGAGCGACCCCGGCGCTTACTTGGGAGACTCAGCCTGGAAGTTGAACTTGAGGCGAGCAGCTTTCATCTGGGGAGGGAGAGGAGAGCTTACAGGGAGCCCCCCCAGTCCCAGCCCCCCAAACCCGACATGGCACCGGACCATCCCAGCCTCACCTTTTTCTCCTCCCTCTTGACGGCCTCCACGGGGTCCCCCAGGTCCGACAAGCTGGGGAGGGTCCCTGGCCTGAGGGTGTCTGTAGAGAGCGGGGTGTCACCGGCCGGGGTGCCCCACAGCAGGGCTTGGGGGGCTCAGGAGGGCTAAAGGAGGGCTCAGGGGGCTAAAGGGGGGCTCACCTCTGCCGGGGCTCCGGTCACTGGCCAGCCCCAGCCCGCCCCGCTCCATGCTGGGGGTGCCAGGTGAGTGGTGGGGGACAGGGGGGCTCCACAGCCGGTGGGGGGACAGGGGGCTCCTGCGGGGTGACAGTGGCTCAGGGCAGGGCTGAGCCTCGTGTCCAGCCCTGCTGCCATGAGCCCTCCCTGCCCTCTGTGTGCCACAGGGCAGGACGTGGGGGTCCTGTGAATTGCATGGACCAGGACCCCCGGGTCTCATGGACCAGGACATCAGGGACCCTCAGGACTCCTGGATCCCATGGACCAAGACCCCTGGACCCCTGGGTTCCACAGACCAGGAATTCGGGGTGCCCCAGAACCAGAATCCCAGAATTCCATGAACCAGGATTTTGGGGTCCCCCAGAACCAGGACCCCGGGATCCCTGGATACCCCAACGTGAGGACGTTGGGGTCCCCCCGAAGCAGGACCCCCGGGTGTGCTCTCCTCACCCCTGCAGGGGCTCCTCCCAGGGGCAGCCAAGCGGGACAGGTCCAAAGTTTTCCGGCAGCGCCGGCAGCGCGGCCCCGCTGCCGCCGAGCAGGAAGCGCCGGGGAGGGCTAATGAATAACCCCGCTGCGGGGGGCGCTTAAAGAGCCCAAATGCGCCCCCCAAGCCGGAGGAGGGGTTGGGGAGGAGGGCAGCCACCCCCCCGGGGGTCCCGGTAGGTCCCACAACAGAAGGCGCTTATTTGTTTGTTGTTTGTTTGTTTGTTTGTTTGTTTGTTTTCCTGCCGCTGCCGGGGCACAGAGGGTCTGTGGGGACACCCCGGCGTGCCCACCCATCCCGGGGTGCCCACCCATCCCGGGGTGCCCACCCATCCCGGGGCGCTCCGGCACCGCCGGCACACTGTCCCCTCCCGTGGGGCCGTGGGGACACAGCGCTGGGAATCCGAGCGCCGTCACCTCCCCTGGGACGGGGCCAAGGGCCGGGACGCGGTGTCCCCGCTCCGGGGACGGGGAAAGGCTCAGCCCCGCTCCGGCCGGTCCCACCCCGCGGCAGCCGGCCCGGCGCCGGGTCCCGCCCGTGCCGGGGTGCGGGGGGCCCGGGGGGCTCGGTGGGGATCCCGGGGGCGATGCCGGGGGGCTCCCAGCCCCGGGACGCTGCAGGGACAGCCCGCCCGCCGCCCCCCGAGCGCGGGGCTGCCCCTCGCCCCCAGCGGGGTCTGGGCACGGGGATTTGGGGGTGCGCGGGGCGGGAGCGGCCGCTGAACTCACCGAGCAGCCGGGGAGGCCGGAGCAGGGGAGCGAGCGGTGGGAGCAGCCGCCGGGCTCTGCCGGGAGGAGCGGGAGGGGGTGGGAGAGAAAAATTAATCATCCAGGAGGCCGAGTCTCGGCGGGAAGCGAAGGAGTCCAGCTCGGCTGCGCCAATAAACCGCCGGACGGACGGACGGACGGATGGGCTGGGTCCTAAAGCCCCACAGCCGCGGCTCCAGGCCGCCGCTGAGCCGCCGTGCGCGGGTCCAGATGTGCACGGGGCCAGCCAGGCAGGCACCGAGCTGTGCACGCAGCCAGATGTGCAGGCGGCTCGCTGTGCATTCGCCCGGCCGGGCGGGCTCCAGATGTGCAGGGCTCCAGCCATACACACATCCAGCCGTGCACACACCCAGCCGTGCATGCACCCAGATGTGCAGGCACCCATCCGAGCATTAATCCAGATGTGCATCCCACCCCGTGCATGTCCGAGCCTGGCACAAAGGCTGAGCCCACAGCTGGGTGTGCCCACAGCTGGGTGTGCCCACAGCTGGGCGCCCTGGGGGGGCCAAGGGGCAGCAGGAGGGGCGGGGGGTACCTGCCGGGGGGTCCGGTGTGCCTCCATGTCCCTCATGTCCTTGTCCAGCTCCTCGCTGAGCTGCTCCAGCTCCTGCTCCAGCAGCACCTGCAGGGGCAGGGCGGGGCAGTGGCGGGCCAGGCTGGCACCGCCCGCGGGCACCGGGACCCCGCTGCCACCCCCTGCCCCCCGCCCGCCCCCCAGCACCTCCTCACCTCGATGGACTGAGCCCGCTTCGGCCGCGCTGCTGCCGGGGCCTGGAAAGGGCACGGGGCCGGTCAGGGGGGTGCCCACCGCGGCGCCCACCCCTCCCCGGTGCCAGGGCCTGCCTACCTGCTCCCGCGGAGAGAACTCCCCTGGCTCGTAGTCGAAAATGCTGCCAGGCTCGGCGGTGGCGCCGGTGGCTCCCCAGCGGGTCCTGTGGAGCACGGGAGGGGTTCAGCCACCGCCGCCCCCACCCCGTGGGCACCCAGGACGCCGTGCCAGGCTCACCAGTCCATCCCGTTGGGCATTCCGGAGGGCTCAGCTGGGGCCGAGCCCCTCCTCCGCGGCTTGGGGGGCGACGGGGGCGCCGTGGTGGGACAGGAATGGGTGTCCCAGTCGGGCTCTGAGGAGGGGGGAGGTGAGCGGCTGCCGAGCCGAGCCGAGCCGAGCCGTGCCCGCTCCGTGCCACGCCCGCGCGGCCGGGCTCACCTGGCAGCTTGCAGTGGATCTGCCGGAACATGCTGCGGTACCAGTCCCGCGGGCTGTCCACGCTCTGGGGGGACACGTTGGGGTGGTGAGGGGGTGGCAGCGAGGTGACACCCCCGTCCCGCGCCCCCACTCACCGAGCGCGAGGCCAGGGGCATCCCGGTCTCGTCCACGGGCCCGATGCCATCGTACTTCACCCAGCGCCGCTCCCGCCGCTTGCTGTCCTTGGTCCAGGTCGCCGACCAGCCCGGGGGCCGCGGGCA